ATTCTAAGGCAGAGAGAGGCATTGTGCAGGGTATCTGGAATACACTTATGCTTTCGGTCTCAATGCGAAGAGACATCAAACAACAAAAGTTTGCGCAGATCTCGTAAGATACAAGACCACTTAATCTCACGTTTTTTATTATCTAATTCATTCAAATTGTCTTTGTCTTTGTCTCTCCTTCTATCTCTTTCTCTCTCTATATATATCCCCCCCCTCTCTCTCTCTCTCTCGCTCTCTCTATCTATCTATCTATCTCCCACCTCTCTCTCTCTCTCTCTCTCTGTCTGTCTCTCTCTTCCCCTCTCTCAATCTCTCTCTCTCTATCTATCTATCTCCCACCTCTCTCTCTCTCTCTCTCTCTCTCTCTCCCTCCCTCCCTTTCCCTCCCTACCTCTCTCGCTCTCTCTCTCTCTCTATCTATCTCCCACCTCTCTCTCTCTCTCTCTCTCTCTCTCTCTCTCTCTCTCTCTCTCTCTCTCTCTCTCTCTCTCTCTCTCTCTCTCTCTCTCTCTCTCTCCCCCTCTCTCTCTCTCTCTCTTCTGCACACTCCTACATCGAAGGGATTATCTCGGGAACTGTGACGAGGAGCGTAAACACATTTCTGACGCATATTCATAACGGGGTGTAAGGATAGGGAAAAGATATAGAAACATTAATAAAGATCTTCCATCAATGTCGCTTTATGTGACAAACTGGATAACAGGCATGACCAAAGATTACATGCTCCCATGACATTATTTACTCTCTCTTGCAAAACGTATTAGCATCTTCTATACGTAGGACTTGCTTTCAACGTTATAAATAGAAAGACTTTAATATCGTAAAGACAAATTCATAAGATTTTGACGTCCTGGTTAACTTTGAACTACTAATCTGGTAAAAAACTTGTAGCTGGGTACTTACACTCAATTCATTTCTGTTAACTGTATCTTTCCTATCATACACTTGAGTAAATTTTGCCAGGCAATATCAGCTGGAGGGTGTAAGTGGAGGTTCTTTACGCAGCGCAAATACACCATTTCAATGATTAAATCAGTGCTCTCTGCTGCTGTCCTGTTTGTTCGTTCCCAAAGCTATTTATTTCATAGTCACATGAAAAATGAATATTGATGTACATTCTAGGAACAGTTTCAAAGGTTGGAAAACTATAAGTAACCAATGAATAGTTTCTTATCACGTAATTGTATCTACAAATATTAGTACTAACGTTACGGTTCAAATTTAACTATTAAATACCATTCATATTTTCAATGTGTATTTTTAAACAGATTACTTTTTCGCTATATTCTTTATTATATATATATATATGCATTAATTGACTCTGTATATATGCGTACACACACACACACACATACACACACATCTGCCTATCTATCTATCTATCATTCTATCTATATATATAAATATGTATATATGTGTATATATATCCATATATATATCCATATATATACGTATATATACATATATATATATATATATATATATATATATATATATATATATATATATATATATATATATATATATATATATATATATATATATATATATATATATATATAAATAGAATGATAGATAGATAAATAGACAGATAGATGTGTGTGTACATATATATATATATATATATATATATATATATATATATATATATATATATATATTTATATATATATATATATATATATACATATATATACACACACACACACACACACACACACACACACACACACACACACACACACACACACACACACACACACACACATATATATATATATATATATGAGTGTATTTGTGTGTGCGTGTGTGGATATCTATTCTGTGTTGTGTCGCTATATATCTGACAGATGACTATAAAGAACCAAATGTCTGTGGTCAGCCACACATAAAACTAATGGCCTATGCAAAGAATCTCTTGCTCACGAAAAGATTAATCTTTTCTGTCTTTCTCCCTTTCTCTCGACATTTTAGGTAATGTAGAATTAGAATGATAACTTGTTCGAAAGCGAACATATTATGGAAATTGAATAAAAGATCTTTGTTGATACCCATTCGCCTGTCCTCCTCTGTATAAGCATACAATTTATGTTGCGTAAATAAAAAACAATATCAATTTGTGTGTGTGTGTGTATGTGTGTGTGTGTGTGTGTGTGTGTGTGTGTGTGTGTGTGTGTGTTTTATGTGTTTGTGAGTGTGTGTGTGTTTGAATGTATCTATACATCTATCTATCTCCTTGTGTATCTCTCTATATACATGTGGGGAAGGGGAGGCTATGTACATTGTCTACACTGTTCTGCTCTGTATAAAAAAAAATAATAATAATTCTGTAAACATTTTTCTAATATACCAGTCGGAAAGAAAATATTTAGGTATATTTATTATATGAAAATGCATATACAACATGAAATTCAATTACCTGCCTTACATGGTATAAAGAACTTTCATTCAAATACCACTTAATAATGAACCACACCACAATACACCAAACAATAATACAACAAAAGACAAAAAAATAGCAAAAACTTATGACTTCATCTAATAACTATATAAAACTGATATATTACATTGTAGTCCCTTACAACGAAAGCGTCTACATAATGCAACACTCAAAAACATAACCCACTTTCACAAAGGATTTGACACTATTCCACAAACACAGGAATTAAAGATTGAATTCCGCGTGACATCTATTTTTCCTTTTTCTGTTACATGTAATTCAGTTTAATTCCTATGCCAACTAACTCACAATTATTTGATAGAAATGGAGTGACAAAAGTGCATATGCCAATGAATTATAGAAAAAGAAGGTGCAAAGATTAGTGACAGACTAGCCCTGAGGAACACCGTAAATGCGGAGAGAATTTCGTAACTACAAGTGCTTATCTGTAAAAACAATTGAAGATAACTATGCGCTAGTTTGATATCATAAGGTTATATATAACTTGTGCATATAGATATTGCTCTGAATATATGTAATATATGCTGCGGAATATATGTAAATATTTAATGTAGAGAAAGTTAATAATCCTATACACACACATATACAAACATATAAACATGCACATATATACATATACACATACACATGCACACACACACACACACACACACACACACACACACACACACACACACACACACACACACACACACACACACATAGACACACACATATACATACACATACACACACCACACACATGTAAGTACACACATACACATGTACACACACATGCAAACACACACGCACACATACATATATATAATATAGACAAATATTTATATACATATACATACACACTTTTATATATCTATATCTATCTATCTATCTATATATATATATATATATTCTTTACCTTATCCATGTATCAGGGGTCGCCACAGCGCATCAACTTTCTCCATCTCTTTCTATCTTGTGTGTCCTCCTCCGCAGCACCTACTTGCGCTATATCTTCTCTGATGTTGTCCATAAAACGCCTTTTCGGTCTGCCTTTACGTCTCTTCCCTGGTGGCGCCATCTCCAACATTCTTCGCCCAACGTAGTTTTCTTCCCTTCTCTTCTCTTGCTCAAACCATCTCAGACTCCATACCCTACGCCTTCTTGTAGTTAAGATGTCCCTCACTGTCTCATTCCTTATTCTGTTTTTTCCGTGTGAGACGCAGAGTGAATCTGAACATTCGCATCTCTGCCACCTCCATCTTTGCTTCTTGTGACTTTGTTGCAGGCACTATCTCCATGCCATACAACATTGCTGGTCTTACACACGTCCTATAGATTTTCCCCTACACTCCTATTGGCATGTTCCTGTCGCACCTGTCCCGTCACTTTTCTCCACACATTCCACCGTGCCTGCACTCTCCTTTTAACTTCAGCAGTGCTAGATCCTTCACAGACTACTGTTGAACCCAAATACTTAAATTCATTCATTTTCTTGATCTCTTTTCCTTGCATCTTACCTCTGCCATCTCCTTCCTTCTCCTTTACACAGAGATACTCTGTCTTCCTTCTGCTGACGTTCATGCCATGTCTCCATCTTTCCAGATCTTCTACTTCTCCTGTACTTTCGCTACATAACTCATTGTCGTCTGCAAACATCAGATACCACGGCACTCCTTTCCTAAGCCCATCAGTTAACGTATCCATGATAACAGCAAACAAGATCGGGCTCAGGGTTGACCCCTGGTGTAATCCAACCTCAATCCTAAACCCCTCTGTAGTACCTACTGCACTTCTCACTACTGTCATATATACATTATACATATCTTGTACCATCCTTACATACACTGCCGATATCGACGACTCCCGTATGCAGTGCCACAGTCCCTCTCTTGTTAGTCTATCATATGCCTTCTCCAGATCTATGAACACACAATCCAGTTGCCTTTGTCCCTCTCTGTACATTTCCATCAACATCTGTAGGGCAAAGATGGCATATGTGGTACTTCTCCCTAGCATAAAACCAAACTGCTCATCACAAATTCTGCAACAACTCCTTAGCCTTGTGTCTATCACCCTTTCCCACAACTTTATTGTATGACTCTTTGGTTTGATGCCCCGTTAGTTACCACAATCTTGTGCGTCTTCTTTGTTCTTGTAAATGGGTATCAATGTGCTCTCTCTCCACTCATCTGACATTCTCTATCCTGCAAGGGTTTTGTTGAATAGGGATGTCAGGTATCGAACCCCTGCTTCTTCTAAGCTTATTCATGCTTCTATAGTAATGTTGTCTGATCCTAAAGCTTTGTTCCATCTTTACCTCATCCTGTGTAACTCCTGAAACCATTACTTCCTCTTTCACTTCCCTTGGGTTCTCAACATTCATCAGCCCTTCGAAGTAGTCTTTCCATCTCTGCAGCACCGCCTCAATGTTCAACACTTTATCCTCAGCGTTCTTTAACAGCCTAATTTGTTGTACATCCTTTGCTGCTCTATCCCTCTGCTTAGCCACTCTATACACCATGTGTCCCCCCTCTTTTGTATCCAGCTTCTCATACAT